TGTTATGATTAAGGTTTCCAAGGCTATCTTCCAAACCTTTTACCTCCATGTAGTGGGATAACCTGGGTCTTTGCCCTCTCTGGATCCCCAGGCAGTGTGAGCAGTATTGATTCCAGCCTGGTGCCTGGCCCAGGAGCACTGTTAAGTAAACAATGGGGGCAGACCTTTGTTAGTCCTGCCGGCTTTGGGCTATGGAGGGGTATTTCCAGGCCTTACTTGCCTTACTGAGGTGGAACTTGCTGCCTGCTTCTGCCCGCACAAAAAGTGAGACACAGATATATCCAGTGCCCTCAGAGTCACAGGTGGCAGCTGTGGACACTGAGGATGTGGGTGAACCTTTCTTGAAGCTATAATTTCAGCCTCCCTCATCTGCTTCAAAAAGTTGGAGCACCCAGCGTGGCACTCACCTAGGACACATCACAGAGGAAAACCACTGTGATCAGTGGCTGGGAGCAGACAAAGTGGAACTGGGGAATGAAACTATGTTCCATGACTTAGTGTGTGAACATGTTTGTGCTGAATAAAAAGCAAGGATTCCCGATGGAATCTGGATCTGCTTAACCTGCCGTCCCCATGTTTGCATGCCTGTGCATGCACACGTGCGCTCTGTTCCTGGTGGCACTCAAATCAACCACCCCTTTTTGTCCCTTTTGATTAGGTGTGACAGCATTTTTGCTGGGCCTCCAACCCTTTGGGGCTTCCTTGTGTCCAGGTTTGTGCCTGTGTCTGCTGTTTTGTTCCTTTGAGGAGACCTCATCTGACAGTGATTTGCCATTCAGAGGAAGGGGAGTGGGCTTGAGGAGGAGTGTCTCTCTACTTTGCTGGAGTGGGGAAGGGAAGGAAAGTTTGGTGAGATCTGTATTAGCTGCTGCCATCTCAAGGGAAAAGGTTGGTGAGGGAAGGCAGTGGTGCCTAGAGTTTTTAGGATGAGGATAGCCAAGGAATATAAAAAAACACACAGGTGTCCCATATCCCAAGTGTGTCTGTGGGGGGGATTATTTTTATTAACATTAACTAGAAGGGCAGAGACGTATTCTAGAGTTGTGATAACAGAAGTCTTGTCAGCCATCACTATATGGTGTCTGTTGTTATGCTGTGTCGTCTTGGCCCAACTTAAATACTTAAGTAGAAGCTATGTGGATTGGGGGTGATGTGTCAGCTGTCACTAGGGCCTTTCCCTCACTCCTGTACTGCTGTACCTGCTGGTGTCTCTGAGTATGAAGTGGGGATTCTGGATGGAGATGAAGGATACTGCAGGAGCTGCCACCTCGTCAGGCTCTCTTGTCCATCTGGCACTGATCTGAACCAAACCCCTTTGTTGGATATGCTTTGAGTCCCTGTGCCAACCCAGAGTCTGTCTCCCTCCTCTCTTCTCTTCTCCTCCCCTCATAAATACCCCCTCAGACTAGAGGTGCTGGAGTGGGTTGGCCTGCTGCTGCGTACATTGTCCCCCTGCCTGCAGAAACTTCAGAATAAGATGCCTGGGGTTGTTGAATAGGGGCTGTCTTTGCCTCTGAGACCTCTTCTACATCAGAGGACCTTATGTAGGAGAGGACAAACAGTTTGGTCCTTGCTGTATGGATATAATGCAAGGCTCTGACTAGTTTCCCCAGGTTTGTAAAGACAGATTTTGTCAGCATAGTGGGGACAGCAGCAGGAGATAGAAGGCAGTATAAACTGATAGGCCTGGTTTTGCTCCTCCTGTAAAGGTCAGGTGAAGTTGACCTCTGCATACGGTATCTATCCTACCACACATGGTAATTACCTCTTTGCTATGGCAGTGCTGAAGTGCAGGAATCTGTCCTGTGACCTGCTCAAATTTGCAGCAGGGGAAGGCAGAGAAGCATGAGGGAGAGTAGGGGGAAGGGGAGAGGCAGAGAACGAAAAGAAGGGAAAAAGGCTTGCCCAAAACTGTTGATCCCTGGGGGTGTTTTTTTTTGCTGGCCTGCACTGAAGGGAGAACTGATTGGGATTCTCTGGTGGCATTTGAGGGCAACCTATCAGTAACTGTTGTGAATGTGCTCTGTGCCACACAGTGGTCCACCTGGATCAAGGGGTCACCTAAGCTTGTGTGTTCTGGGGCTGTGCTGCTATGCTGGGGAAGGAGGGGGTCATAGTCAGGGCCTTTGTGAGCTGTGTTAGCAGAATATGCTGTGTGCAGGTGTGCTTGGTCAGCAGGACTGAGCAAGGCTCTTGTGCAGGGCAAGGAGTGGAGAGACGCTTTCTAGTTTAGCTGCTTGCTGTGCTATGAGCAACAGCAATCTTTTGCCTTTATGGAATTGCTGTCGAAGGCATGACAGCCTTCCAAGTCAGACTGCTGATGTTTGTTTGGCTCTTTGCAGACCCAAGATCAGTGCACTGTAATTCAGCTTGAAGACTCATGTGGACACAACCTTCTTCCCTAGCAACAGACATAGAAAAGCAATTCACTTACCTGGGTTGGAATCAGAGGTGTTAATGTGGGACGTTGCTCGTGTTGGCCATGGGAGAATGGACAAAGGGAAGGGTCCATTCCCCGAACGTTGATGTTCCTTCATAGGAGTTACCTGCAGGGTCTGGGAATGGGAAGCATAGAGACTGTGCTATCTTAGAGTATCTGCTGTGCCATGAGCATGGCCCCAGTGCATGCACATCTTCTGGTAAGGGGTAGGGTTGATGATGTGCCCCAAGATCTGTTTGAAGAAGTTTGTGGCAAGGGTATGCCTGCCATGTTGCCCCCATGTTTTGTGGCCTTCGAGAAGACAACCTTCATCCCTTTGACACTTGTCACCAGTCCTCTTGCACCTGCAATTCAGCAGTTTTGCTCCCTTGTTGGTTAGCCTCTTGCCGCTGGAGAAGCCTTGTCCCCCTTTCAGCATTGCTTGATGAGTGGCGGGGTTTCCATGTGACTCCAGGTGCCGCTGTGCTTCTGTAGGCATGAAGGAGATTGATTTTTGCCATGGGAAAGGGCATTTGGGAGGAGTACAGCACAAAACAAATCTGAAAGTAGTGATGGCATTCAGCAATGGTGAGGAAGGCAACAGAAGGCACGGCAGGTATTGAGGAAAAAGAAACTGCACAGAGGCAGGAGAGGCCCCAGTAGAAGGCAAAGTGGATCACAAAGAATTGAGAGCTGGTGGTTAACATCAAATACAAAAGTACATTACTTTCAAAAGTGCCAAGCGTGCTACTTAGTCCTTTGTTTAGCATGATGTATTCCAGGTATTGCATAAATTCATGACAGTTAAAGAGTCTCCTACTGCTTGGGGCATGCTGGAGAGCTTTGCAGAGGTGCAGCCTGCCTATTGCTTTGGATGCTTGTGTCACCAGCAGGGTTTAGAGTGACACTCTGGGTGGATCTTCTGATTTGGTTTCATCCAAAGGGAATCTGGCTTGTGCAGACCAAAATCATCCTGTGATCCAAGTTGCTGGAGCAATAGGGCATTCCTTTTAAAAGCAGACTGGTGCTCTGGATTAATGTGCTATTTCAGGTCAGCTGAGTCCGTGGCTTCTCTGGTGCCTTTGATGCTGGTTATGGCTAGGACTCAGTGGCATTCTTGCTAGACTTCCCTTATTACCTTTTACAGCTTCTCATAGCTGGGGCAGGTGCTGGAGGTCTTGTTGCAGTTTTAATTCCTCTGAAAGAAGCTATTTTTGTGGCTCGTGCTCTTGATTACAGCATGGCTGTCCTCGGAGTAACCACCTTGGTTGGTTGTTTGGATGTGTCCTTCTGAGTCTTGTATTCGTGGCTCACGTTAAGGAGCCAGCTCATATCTGCAGGATGTCTGCATGGTTCTGCTCAGGGAAGCACATCAGAGCACACAATTACTGTGTCTGTAATTACAAATGGGTTATGCCTAGCTGCATATTGGCCTTTCAGTGCGCAGTTTATATGGGGTCAATTTGACACCAAAGTACTAACAAAAGCTATAAACCAGCTTAATTTGGGCATTAAGTAATGTAGGGGAAGCTTGCCAGAGGCAAAACCCAATTCATTCACAGTGCGTGTTTCTGGACAAACTTTTCTTGACATGCTTATTCTGAAATTTAATCCATTTTGAGAAAGGGATTATCCAATTCACAAAAGGTAGACAAATTGTCTATAAAAGAATTGTCATATGAACTCAATGGCTTTTAATCTAGGAATAAGAATAAATTAGATATGCTGTCCCTGCTCCCACAAATCTACTTCTCTTAAGCAAATGAGAACTTTATTTTGGTTAGTGTATGTATTTTTTTGTTTTGTTTTAATAACCAGAGAGGATATACATAATTTGATTTCTCTCTTTCTAAGGTTTTTGTATGCTTCTGTTGCCTTGCTTTGGGGTACTTTACAATGATAAAGAAACAATTTTTTGGTAGTAGAGAGGAGCTGGCAACAGAAAATTACTTTTTTTTTTTTTTTTTTGTTAATGTGGCTATGAGGAGAGGATTCTTGGGTTCAAACTAGCTATTTTCCTTGTCTTTAGTTTTCTACAGAAGACTAAAATGAAATCACAGCTGCATGGGAAGCATTTTAGTCAGCAGGGAAAGCATATTTCAAAACTGGATAGGAGAGTTAGGTGGGTTTGCTCAGTTAAAATCCTTCGCAGCTGCTTGTTTTAAAATAGCATAAAATTAGCCTGAAGTCTTGCTGGCTTCCATACTGCAGTAGTGATGCAGTGCAAGGTCTTCAAAGACAAATATACAAGGGTCAGGCTGAGACTGAAGTGATTGAGGAATGACATTTTTAACTTGGAAAGCATATCTTTTTTTGAAAAGCCATACTCCTACCTTGTGACAAGTTGCAGACTCAGGTGATTTGCACTATGTGAAAGTAGTAATAACCTGCCGCTGACCAGACTTACTCATCAGATATCCGTGTGTGTGCTGAGATGTTTCTGGTTTAGTTTCGTACTGTGGAGTCCTTCAACTATCTGTTGTTCACTGTGGGATTGGAGAGCTGTCAATGTGTAGGTAATGCCAGTTGGAAAAATACTTGGGATGCTACACCTGAGTGACGAGACGTGTCTGTCTTGTAGGTAGGGAATACCTGGAAGCACGACAGAGTCCTTCAAGGTCAGAGGAGAGAAAAGTTTCAAGTTTATATACATAGGTACGTATTATCTTTCCTCATCCCTACCCCAACTCTTACTGTTTTCGGGAGTATGTTAGGAGATCTAGCATAACGCAAAAATCTAAAATAACTGGGGGTAGATAACAGGTATCTTTCTAAAGCAGGAAACTGGAATACGGTTAGCTTCAAAATACAAGTTTTCTTCCTAATTTTGTGGATATAAGACCCTGACTTAAACTACTTTCTCCTTCTTTTTAAATGAAACTTTACTTCAACTAGGAGAAGCTTCCTTGGCACAGTTCTGCTTTTCATGTCTATCTGACGTATTTCTTCCCACACAGATAACCCACACCTTTGATAATCTGTATCCTGTCCTTGAAAATAAATCGTCAGATAATTTGCATAAGATCAGAGGCACAAGGTTATTGGGGTAAATACGTTGGAGGTAATGGGGCAAGAGTCTTCAGGGCAAGAATGTGACAGATACAAGGAAAGAGAATAAGGAAGAGAGAGGTCATTTTTTGCCTGAATATTTGATTGATCTGAGCTGCTGCTGTTGCTGCTGACTTGAGGTTTTGTTGAAGTATGGTGTGTCCTGGGGTTGAGGGTGGTGGGTTTGTTTTGATTTTAACAGCTAACCCACAGGGTATCTTGAGGTTGCTTTTTTTTGGTGGGTCAGACAATTAGAAATACTTAAAGTTGTCAGTTTTTAAGCATGAGTCTGGAGTGTTGCATCTAAGCAGAATAACAAAAAGCTGAGGAATTTGCTTTCTAGGTTGGTTGGTTTGGGTTTTGTTCTGTTTTTTTGTTGTTGTTGTTGTTTTTTTTTTTTTTTTTTTTTTTTTAAGCACCTCTGAAACAGAGGAAAGTCTTCTGTGTACACTCATAACCTTTAGACTTGTATGGTTGAATTGGTGGTGTGATGTACTTATTGCAGTGCTCATGGAGCTAGGATTCATAAAGCAGACTTTCCAGTAGAATATATTTTCTGGTAATGTTTCATCAGAGAACATGTGGGTTTTTTTAGATAGACATAAAGGAATAAATATAGAACAACTCAGGTGCTAAAAATAACCACTTGCATTGACGTCTACTTTTTTTTTCTTTAAAAGAGACCTTTTGGATATTTAGCAAGATGCTTCATATATGCTCAGAATCATTTTGGCTGCAGTGATTTTGAAGGAGACAAGTCAGCTGATCTTAGAAAATAGTTTATCTTGGTTTGACATAAGATTGCAATGTGGATATAGAGCAGATGCCGAGGAAGAGACTTGATGTGGATAATGGAATGAGAAGTTGGTTTAATTACTGCAGTTGTAGAAGCTGGGCATTTACAATATCAGAGAAGACTGCCCATCTCTTGGGTTTATATGGGAAAAAAAGATATTAAATACCTGAGATATTAAAAGATATAAAACCCTGAGATACACAATGGATCTCACTGAAAAGATGGTCCCATGATAGGAAAGCTGCTTGTATGGAATGGCTTCAGTTACAGTCCAAGATATAGTAAATCTGGCATCCCTTTAAGTGAGAGAAGAGGGGATGAATAATCTTCCAAAAGATCTCTAATCTTAGAAACTGAGATTTTCATAGTGGGAGAATGATTTACTTGAAATGGATTTTGAAGTAATTCTCAGTTTGCAGATGATCTGCTGTGGGCATGATTCCTTGTGCATAGTTGGCTATTTGTTGACGTTCCAAATAGAGATCCAACTGAGATCTGTGGTGTGAGAATGGACTGGTGAATCAGTTAACACGTTTAAATGAGTTGAAGATTAGGCTATTACTCCAGTGCCCTATCATGCAGAACTTCTATTAATTCAGTGCCACACTCCTTTATTTACAAACTGCGCACACATTTCAGTATCCAGAAGCGCCGCGATCGGCCCAAGTGAGTGCGCGCTACCCACACTCTGGTGCTGTCTGAAGTGGGTTGTGTGATGCGTGGGGAGGAAGGGGTCAGGGCCTTCTGGCATCTTACAGGTTGTGCAGCATCAGGCAGCCGCTGGTTTATGGCAGTTGGAGCAGACCATTCCTACCGGGCATTTTGGGGCCCCGACCTCATGCCCCACTCCCAGCCATGGCTTTCTCCACCCATGAGCCAGGAGTGCATCGCTTCGCTTTCCCGGTGGCGTTGCTGCGGCTGCTTCCCCCTTTGAACTTAATAACAGGTCAGATGTAAATTGCAGTTGAGACATAAAAATAGCCGGCACCTGCCCCAGTCACGCCGGGCTGGGGTGAGCTGGGGCCCTGCTGCCGCCGTGCCAGCCCCGGGCTGGCGTGAGCGAGAGCGGCCCGGTGAGGCGTTCTCCGCCTGTCCCAGGTGGAGCGGCCGAGAGCCCGTTGGCAGGGTTGTTGGCTGGACTCCTGCCAGGTTAATAAAACATCCATGCCGTGTCACCCTTCGGTTGTAAGTATTTTCTGTCTCCTCAGCTGTGTGCCCTTCTGTTTGACTTGGGTTTTTTTTCTCTGCTAACGTTATTTACTCTCTTGCTGCGTTTTAACCAAGGCCAAGCTAGGATGATGTAAAGATAGTGCATCCTCTTAGGAATTACACCATTATTTTAGATTACAATTAGCTCAAGCTTCATCAGGCTTCTGGAAATATATTATTTATTACTATTTCTGTTTAATTAAAAATGCTATTAAGATGGTAGTAAAAAACTTTCCATGTGTAAATAAGGGGAAAAAAACACATTACTTCAAAGGTTCAGTGCACAGGTTCTCCTGGAGAAGATAGGTAGGCCTTCTTTGCTTCAGCTGTTAGCTCTGCTGAAGATCGGTGGTTTGTTTGTGTTTTTTTTTTTTTTTTGTTTGTTTGGTTGTTTTGTTGTTGTTTTTTGTCTTTTTTTTTTTTTTTTAATATTATTGTTAGCCACTGTTCCTTGGAAAGGAGTATGCATATCTGTGTTTTTCTAAGATCCTAAAGAGCTGATACATCCAAAATTATCACCTTGTTCACTACGAAATGGCTTCACCCATAACAAAGAATAATATTTTTTTTCTCGGGATATAGGTGTATTTAACTCTTCTTTCCTTATTAGAGCTACTGAATGAGATATGATAGCAAATACAGCTAGTTTCACTGTTATCTGTTCAGATCTCACCTGCAGCAGCTCAGTATTTTAAAACTTTAAAAGGCTTTTACTTTCTTAATGCAGGTTGCTAAGCTTTTGGTTAGGGAGTAAACTTTTAATTAGTTCAAGTGCTTTATAATAGACTCTATTTCTAAAATGCTATTCATGTTCATTAAAGTTCTTAACTAGGTTGTCATTCTAGATCCTTTTAATTTCACTTGTATTTGAATTATGAGTAGTGAATAAACAGAGATACGTGTAGTTAGTTTAGTCTAACCAAGGGGAATAATATAACTACTGAGGAGGAGGATCCCTCCGGTACAAGCAGCTGCTATGCAGGTTTGAGCCCAGTGCTAGGAGGTGGCTTTCTCCTGAGTTTTACTGGTGGCAGATAGCACTGGTAGCAGTAGGTGCTTCGCAAACAGCTTGGAAGCTTGAAGGGCATCCAGCATCAAGGCAGAGGATGAGGTGCACATCAGTGAGGCAGATGAGGGCCAGTGCTGGAGAATATTTTTAGTCAAGCCTGCTTGACTCATGACCCTGGTCGCAGTCTCTTGCTAAAAGGGAGTTAATGTGGACAGGAAAAGGGCGTGTGAGCGCAAAGAGATGATGTGAGTTTGGCGTGCTGGGCGCATACAGGTTCCTGGGAGTTTTAATGCTGATGTGACTAACACTTCACCTACAAGCTTTCATTTTGGAACCTTACAGATTCAAAGCTGGTAAAAGAAAGGTATTTCTGCCAAAGACTTGCTGCAGTTCTCAAATCCCACGAGGTAACTCCTTCCTATTAACTTTATCTATGAATTCCTAAGAAAATGATTAATTTGGAGTACCTGGAAAGTCTGCTCTGGAAGACCAGAGCATTAAAGTTAATGATCAATTGCTTCTCGTTAGTGAGTAATTATGAAGAACTGTGTTTGGGGATTCTCCCCCCCACCCCCCCTCCAGACTGAAGGCCATTTAAAGACCTACAGCTCTAAAAGCTGTCTCTAAATCTGTTGCACACCAAAGAAAAAGTCAGAGCAATGGGAGAAAAGCTTGCACAGCCTGGTTGCACAATGGAGGCTTTCCCCAGAGTGCAGTGTGGGGACCCTCAGCCCCAGGGTTTGGGGCAGGGCAGTGGATGAAGGTGGCAGAGGACCACTGTAGTGAAAGGAAAGTGCTGTTACGAAGGTCAGCTAGAGGAAATCAGTGAAAGGTGTTTGCAGCTGGTTTTGTGGTTGGTTGGTTTTTGTTTTGGTTTAGTTTTTTTTTAAGACTTGAAAATTTGAAAGAAGGAGGGAAATTAAGCTTATCTCTTACCCTGCAGATAATTCCTGACTCCACAGCAGATATCTATAGTATTTAAGTGCTGAATATAGCACCTATCCTCGTTTCTGTGAAGGCAGTCCTTTATGTAGCTCTGTGTTAGGTAGAACTGTGTTCTTCTATTGCCATGAACATTTTCTATAATGGACATATTCTAAGCAAAAGAATATTCCAGTATTTAGAAGAAAAACAAAATCACTGGAATTACTCTGAACATAATAGACTTACATTATATATTGCAGTACGAAAAAATGATATTTACAATTAGTAGCCATTTAGAAAAATAATTAAGGTCCTTTTTCAGAGCCTAGTTCTTCCTTGAAGTCAGTTTAGGCAATTCTATAAAGCACGGATGAGCTTGCATCAACATTCCAGATTTATTCACAAATTTAATAAACCAAACTAAAACCCAAGCATTCTCAAACACAAGGAAATACAGAAACCTTGCCTGAGCCTACTCAAATTCCCCTCTCACTCTTTTATGCTGTTTTTTATTTAGGCCTTTAGTCAGGGGTAAGTCATGTCAAAACCTCAGAGGTAACTAGTCTCTAAGAAATTGCAGATAAATTATTAGATTTCTTGGGAGTAGACCTGTCTGGACTGTAACTGGGGGTAACATTTCCCAGGACAGGGCACACTTGCCTTGGTTCA